TCGTGAATTTTCCGTATCGTTGCAGCCCTACATTTTATCTTTTTTTTTTCAAATCTGAAACATTTTGTTTTATTCTGAAGTTTAATTAAAGTGTGTGTTCACGCAGGCATTTAACGGTCCTCGTTGTGACTTCTATAAGAACATCCTGGCCCACGGCTGCAGTGAGGCAGCTGTCATCACAGCTAAAAGCAGTTGGAGTGTGGATGCAGTATGTTTTTAACACTTTTACTTCCTTTCCTTCTTCTAAAACAACGTCTTTAAAGGTTTTCAATCCAATAAYTGGACTCTTCCTTTTCTCTCTTGTTCCAAAGAACCAAAGAATCAACACGAAGCTTCAGCAGGCTCAGGTGTCGCCACAGCTGGTCAGCATGACCTTTCTGCCTGGGGAGGAAAGATACATGGATGTGGAGGTGTTTGCTCCAACCAAAGGCCCGTTGGATCTTTATATTCTCATGGACTTCTCAAACTCCATGAAAGACGATCTGGACAATTTAAAGAGAATGGGCAACGACCTGGGTGAGCACCTTCAGAACGGTGATGGGATTCCTGTGAAAGAAGCTCCAGTACTCATGGTGAATGTCTTTCTGYAGCTACTCTGGTCCAGAAGATGTCCAATGATCCCACCATTGGGTTTGGAAAGTTTGTAGACAAAGTTATCGAGCCCCAGACTGACATGAGACCGTCCAAGTAAGACACACAATCCTAAACAAATAAACACTATTCTGTCAAACTCAGAGTTGTACTTATCAGGACATAAGAGAAGGCTTTGGTCTTTACCAGGTTCTGAAAAATTCAAGTTTAACCTCGAGGGAAGAAAACACACAACAGATTCCACCATGTCACACAATGGGAAAAACAAATCCATCCATACTGGTTTGTTAGGATAGAAGAAGTTCACTGTCAGATTAGATCTGCTGATCAAATGTACTGATTAACTGATCACTATCAGTGTGATCACATGTGTAAAAGCAGGAGTTGTGTTGCTTTGTTTCTCTGGAGTTAACCCGAGGCTAAGATGGAATGACATCAGTRATGACCTTGGAGCAGCAACACTTGTTACCAAGTGAAGAGTTCTGACAAGTGGATGTTATTTCAGACATTCTTCATCCCAGGAATGAAYGTTTCAGTAAATTCTTCCCAGCATTAGACGGTGCAATGTTCAGAAAAATGACCTGAAATACCACAGGTCCATGTCAGACTGCATGGACCTGTTACCAGATTAAAGGTTAAAGTTCATGACTGGACACACAAAGACTAAACATAGTTCTTTCAGAACCGGAGCCAGAGTGAAGCTTCTTCTCTACAAACAACATGACAGCATTACTTTGGCTTGTAAAGTTTCATCTGATTGAACTGTAAGTGTTCAGATGGCAGATGAGACCAAAATAAAGATGGTTTTCCATAACGCAAATAAACTACAACTACTCCTTCATCTGTCAAGCATGGTACTGGAGGAGTGATGGTACGGGCTKGTTCTGCAGCCTCAGGACTTGGTTATCATGAACTCCTCTGTAGACAAAATAAAATCCAGTCAGACGTGAGGCCTTTTGTCTGACAGCCGAAGCATGAACCACCTGGGTCATGATGCAACACAACAACGTTCCCAAACAGTTAATCTACAACATAATGTCTGAAAAACAACAAAACAACACTGTGTTGTGATTATCCTGTCAAAGTCCAGAACCTAATCTGATTAAAACGCTGGTGTTTGGGAGGAAAACAGAGTCATGGAGAAACAAAAGTGTGCAGACATCACTGAAGTTCTGCTGTCAGGACTCACAACGTTCTGCTGAGGTGGATTTGTTTTAGTTTTCAACAGCTTTGGGTTCATAAATAATGACAGATCTGTTTTGTGCGGAGCCCACGAGGGACGGGGGGAGTTTTTTTCTTTTGCGTTCCCACGCAAAACCTAATTTCCCTCTGGGATCAGCAAAGTATTTTTGAATTGAATTGAATTGAAAAGATTGTTTTGTATTTGAACTTAATTCAGTCAGACTTTTATTTTGAAATATCCGGTTACCAAAACAGGAAGTGTCGCCACAAGTTCGTGAATTTGACATTGATGTTGCGTGGCTGCACTGTTAAAATATCACTAACTCACTAATGGTGAACATGTGAGTTTGTTAATAAACCGGCAGGCACTACAGTGATTTTGCGAGGGAACAGAAAAGAGAAAAGTTCCCCATGTCCCCTCGCAGGCTCAGCAGTTTTGCACATTTGTGGTCAGATTTAAATAATTTCAGAACCTGTAGACCCAAAGCTTCTCGTTAAGTTTTGATTTGTAAAACCCTAACCCTAAAGAAAGGTTGGCCTTTCTTGTTTCCGTTGGTTGCAGATGTTGTTGTTCTTTATTTTTTATTTTCTTTTTCTCTTCTCCCTCCACTCTTAGACTGAAGAAGCCGTGGCCCAACAGCGACCCTCCCTTCTCTTTTCAAAACGTCATCAAACTAACAAGTGACATCGGCTCCTTCATCAACAAGCTGCAGAGGGAGAACATATCTGGCAACCTGGATGCTCCTGAAGGAGGATTTGATGCCATCTTACAGGCAGCTGTGTGTAAGGTCAGCAAACTGAACCAGTGTTCATTCTGATAAAGCAACACTTCTGATAAAAACACCACACAAACTGGATTATAGTTTTCAACTTATGACCTTTTTCTGAGAAATGGCTTCAGGATCTTGAGCTGTGTCGGCTCCAGCAGCTTTTAAATGGAACTGGAGGGAAMCCCTTCATGATAAAACCAGTTGAGTCTTGCTGTTTCTGATGCTGCCCTTTCTGTCTGGTTTTGTGTCTTCACTCCAGGATAAAATCGGGTGGCGCGAGCACAGCACACACCTCCTGGTTTTCTCCACCGAGTCAGATTTTCACTACGAGTCTGACGGCATGAACGTGCTGTCAGGGATCCTGAAGCGTAACGATGAGCTCTGCCACCTGGATGATGAGGGCAAATACACCGAAGCTACGAAACAAGATTACCCCTCAATCCCCACGCTAGTCCGTGTGTTGGGCAACAATAACATCATCCCCATCTTCGCCATCACCAACCACTCCTTCATCCATTACAGTGTGAGCAGACGAGCATCCCTCCTGTTGCACTGGAAAAACATGACTCTTTATTTAAAGTATGAATAATTCATCACGTCTGCAGATGCTGAAAGAGTATTTCCCCATCGCTGAGGTGGGTCTGCTTCAAGAAGACTCGTCCAACATCCTGGACGTCATGGAGACTGCCTTCGAGGTGGGCACCAGCACTTGTTGGCACTTGGTTCAGTGAGAAGACAAGTAAACCTCTGAAGGCTGATCTCCTCTTGTTGCTTTCAGAGTATTCGATCYAAGATGAGCATCCGAGCAGAGAACAAGCCCAAGGCTTTCGAGGCTCAGTTCTTGAAAACCAGCGGGGAAGTTTCACAGTATGGCAACTTTAACGTCAAGCCTGGAGAGATTGTAAGATTAAAGCAACACAAAAACACCGCATTGTGCTGTTAAAAGACTAATATCAGTCATTTTGTTTCACAGATACATTTACCCTGTGTCATAATACTTCAGCTGGAGTTTAAGTAGAATTTCCTACTAGGAACTCTGAAAGTCCGACTCTTAAACACATGTGCATATTTATAAACATATATACATCGTCCCCTGCTGGTAATTAATCACAGTTTTCCTACAGTATTCACATTTTTGCTTTGTGGGAACTAGTTTGAGAGGAAGGCAGGTTTTAGTCGACTGCAGTAACTTGGCAAGTATTTCTGGATGAACCTGTGAGACACAGATGAAAGGTCCTGCAGCTCGTGGGAAGAGAGTGAGGTTGTCAGACGTTTTACAAACTAACCTGCTGTTCAGGGTTCGGTGTGACAAAGTCAGATACTGTCTCCATGAATCAGTGTGAGTCAGTGTAACGTGTCAAGAAGACTAAACTGTGATTGTGTGTCTGTGTGTGTGTCTGTGTGTGTGTGTGTACTCTTCAGGGGAAATTCAGGATGCGTCTCAAAGCCCAGCGAATCATCAACAAAGAGCCTGTGTGTGACATAAAMTCTGGTGAGAGGGACGGCACGATCAGAGTCAAACCATCAACCTTCAGCAGTGCTGTGAACGTGCAGGCCTCAGTTTTATGTCCAACCTGTGACTGTGAGAAGGTCAGACCAACACACTGAAGCTGCAGCACAGAGATGTTTCATGAAGGCAGCCTGTGAACATGTTATCTGTCCTGCAGACGTCTGTCCCTAACGCAGCCCGATGCCACGGCCACGGAGCCCTGGTGTGTGGCAGGTGTCAGTGTGACGCTGGATGGTGAGACTTCATGATGAACTTTAMTAAAACCTGCTGCCAGTTCAGCCTCACAACGTGCTAAAGTGTGTGTTTTGTGTTGATGCCTCCCTCAGGCTGGGAACCTTTTGTAACTGCTCAGCCAGTGCCTCAGCTCTGGACACAAACCAGTGCATTGGACCTGGTATGACAGAACCTTGCTCGGGCCGTGGAGACTGTCTGGCCTGTGGAACCTGTGTTTGCTACAACCCAGACCAGTTTGAAGGACCCTACTGTCAGTACGACAAGACCCAGTGTCAACGCTTCGCTGGCTTCCTCTGCAATGGTACGACATGTTGGGACTGTACATACATACTGTATATATATATATATATATATATGTACGACATGTTGGGAC